TGTAGGCATTTCTAAGGTCCCCTCTCAGCCTTCTCTTCTCCAGGCTGAACAAGCCCAGCTCCCTCAGCCTTTCCTCGCAGGAGAGATGCTCCAGTCCCCTCATCATCCTCGTAGCCCTCCGCCGGACTCTCTCCAGTAGCTCCTCATCTTTCTTGAACTGGGGAGCCCAGCACTGGACACAGCACTGCAGATGGGAAAACTTAAAAAATCTGCTTTCCCAAAGTCACTCAAGCAGTCATCAGAGTTCAGCTGGGATTCACTCTCTCAGCATTGAATTCCCCAGCTCCCAGGGGCTGGCAGCCTTGAGACCTGGATGGAAAGCGGGACTGGGGTCTTGCACGCGTATAGCCGGGGGCTGCTGACGCGTGGGACCACTGCCCTCAGCAGCGCGATCTGCTGTGGGGGTCATCCTGCCTGTTCCTCTCGCAGCTGTGGAAGCATCGATCTAGAGAAAAGCGACCTGAAATTGCACGCAGCTTAGCGCGGTGGTGCGGGCTGTGTGGGCAGCAGCCCCCGTGACTGGCTGTGCAGCGGCGAAGATGCTCCTGGGGGGGCTTGGGGGGGCTCACAGCCATGAATCGCAGCCCTCCTCCTGGTCAGAAGGTCCCGCACTGGTTTTTTCATTTCTGCCCTAAACTTGATCTGATACAGGACAAGTTACGCTTTGGACTGTTATGGAATAGGAACAATACCGACTTGTTTTTTTCCTTTAGACTGTAAACTGTTGAGTGCTTCCTGATGCTGTTTATGTTTGGGGCTCCTGGTCTCAGCTGAGGCTTCTTGCTGCCCTTGTGATGTGAAGATCGTAAAGCAGGAGCTGGTTCGGGAGATTTTTCATGCTGAGGGAAGGGAGGTCGGCTGGGATTATTGAGGAGAGTGAAGCTGAGCTGTGTAAGGAGGAGAGAACAGTTAGGAAAATGTGTTGCATACACTGAGGAGGAGGATAATTGCCTGTACTGCAGGGGAAGCAATTTGCCATTTTGTTGTTTTTAAACTTCTCTTTGATTACTGCGGTTAATCTAAGTGTGTTCTTTATGTTTGGACAGGAGCGCGTTCAAAAGACGTTTCCTCATCCAATAGACAAGTGGGCGATTGCTGATGCGCAGTCTGCGATAGAGAAACGCAAGAGAAGAAACCCTCTCCTGCTGCCTGTGGACAAAATACATCCTTTATTAAAGGTACTTACACCGACAACCTGATGGCTGCGGCTTCTGCCCGCCACACACCCGCCCGCAGCGGTAATATTGCCCTCCAGCGTAGCCTTTAAAGTATTTCTTTAATTTGTGTGAAATTAGGTAAGTTTCTCATCTTGGCTGAAAGAGTAACAAGTTGCCGTGGAACAGGACTAACACATTGTAGTGTGTAATAAATGTAGATGCCTGAATTCATCGTGATCTAGACGTTAGTGTCTTAACATATTATTCTATGGTGAAATATGACTAGTTAGTTTTTAACATAAATAAACCCCAAACAAACTCAGATACCTTACCTGCTTAGTAACGCTTGTTTTGATGCCTTTATTTGTTTCAAAATGCTGCAGAAGCCAAAACAGAAGAAAGGAGAACAAGTAGATCCTGTTCCTTGTATACTGTCAACCGAGATGTGTATCAGAAGGTCTGACAGTAGACCGAGTACAGAGTTCAGTGTTGGTGGGTTTTGAGGAGCAGAGCGGCCATCTCTGTTCTGAGATGTCACCTTACGTAGGACAGGTACAGAGCTCCTTGCTCACTTCAGGACTTCGTGTCACACAGTAAGCGTGTATTCATACCCTGTCGCTGCAGAGTTGGGGTTTTTTAAATGATAAAACACTACTCCGATTTTTAGATCGATGTTTTATCACTTTTGGATCAGTGATGAATCAGTAGGTTCAGGCTGATTCAAACACTGCTCTTTTTTTGGTGTTCTTTTTTTCTGTTGATCTGCTTTTCGTTTGCTTTTTCATTTCATAGCTTAAAAAAAATGTTTTTCTTCAGTGGTGGCATTGTTGCACCAGAGTTTCCAGCTGCACTGACAAAACATTATTCAAGCACGTGCAGAAATTAAAGCACTTTTTCAGGTGTAGTCACTGTGTCCTTCTACACAATGTCTCATCTTGTGATGGTTGATGAGAAGGAAAGAGATGTTAGGAAAGAAAACAGCATTAAATAAGACCTTCCTAGACAACACTGGCTTTGTTTTCTGGAGTCTGGTTTAGAAGTGTGTGGACATAGGTACAGCATCTGATTTTTAGAAGATGCGTCAAAATCTGGTAAGAATGAAACCACCTTATTCAACTGCATGAACTTGCCTGTATTTATTCCTGACGGTCCTGTTGTAAATGAGAGGCCATGTGGTGCGTGCTCTGCAGAACGCGGAGCATGTTTCACCAGAAGAACGTGCAACGTTCATCCATTTTCTCTTCAGACTTTAATTACTAAAGTTTAATTATTTTATGTAACATAAGGATGCAGATAGCTTAAGTGTTCAGCCAACTAAAATAGATCGTGGTACGTAACAGGTTGAGCATACTGTCTGTAGTTTTGATGAAGGACAACTTTTTCCATCAAAAGCAAGGTCAAAATGAAGCACTCTCTTTTCTGAAGAGTCTAGATTAGGGCCAGAGTCCTGCAGTAAGAATAGATACAGCCTAAAATTTAACTAGAAGAGTTGTTCCAGTGAAGTCCCTTTGCTGAAGAAACCCTATTTTTAGGACTGTCATTTTTAGAGGAAGAATTATGGAAAGTTCTGTAGCTTTTCATCTGTCAGTATATGGCAAAATAGCACAAGGAAGTATTTGCAAGCATTTCCTTTGAGGTGGCTGATCAGATTTCTGTTTGATGTCCTTTGCCCTGCCTATTGCGTTACTGTAAATTATCAACTTGGACAAGATGAATTTCAGTAGAAAACTTAATGTGTTAGTTGTCATTCTGAAAACTTAATGTGTTAATTGTCATTCCGAGTGAATTTCTGGAATAAATAGCGCTTTTTTCCCCCTTGTTTTCAATTTGCAGGAGGTCCTAGGTTATAAGGTAGATTACCATGTCTCTCTGTATATTGTGGCTGTCTTAGAATACATCTCGGCTGACATTTTGAAGCTGGCCGGAAACTATGTTTTCAATATACGACACTTTGAGATCTCCCAGCAGGACATTAAAGTATCAATGTGTGCTGATAAGGTAAGGAGTTGGGATTAAAATGGTCTCTTGGATAGATACAAAAGTAAATACTAGAGGTGATGGTTGGTTTGTTTGATTTTTAAGATCTACCCAAAGCAGGGTAGGAGGGAGAGACTGGTCTTATTCAAACGCAGAAGCTTCTCTCCTTATTCGTGCCAGACCCGTCACAAGAAAAGCTTAGCTTTAAGTTAAGACTGTGAAGTTTTGGAACAGTACTAGTACTTACAAAACAATGTAAGGACAGAAAAGGATGTTGTCCTTTATTTCACAGCTGTGCTACTGTCTTCCTGACGTGGCTTTGTCATGGCAGCACTTTCCTTTTTTATAATACAGAAGAGACCCTTAGTTTTCATCCTCATAAAAATGAGAAACATTTTTGTGTAATTTTATCAGGAGGGTTTTGTCAAAGGCTTACGCAAGATGCCTTGTTTTCAGAGTTGGTTCTGCATGAATTGTAACTTGTTTTCTAGGTCGTACTAACTTATAAAGGGGAAAATGGCTTTGGCAACTGATCCAGCCTTCTGCTGCCAAAGTTTGAATATTACTCCCTTGTGAAAGTGATCACAGAAAGTATTGTATTAAAAGCTCGGAGGATTTCTCTGAACACAGTGAAATAGCTGAGCTTGAGCCAAGTGTAAAAATCAGACTTACGTGTAATTTTAAAAATTTCTTTGCTAGGTTCTGATGGATATGTTTGATCAGGATGACATTGGTTTGGTTTCTCTCTGTGAAGACGAGCCCTCTTCTTCTGGGGAACTCAACTACTATGACCTAGTGAGAAACGAAATTGCAGAAGAAAGGCAGTATCTGCGGGAGTTGAATCTGATAATCAAAGTATTTCGGGAAGCTTTCCTGTCAAACAGAAAATTGTTCACACCTAATGTAAGTCCTTTAATAGGTTATTGATGTGTAACGCTGGTTGCTCCATTAGCAGCCATAATGTATCAATATTCCATTCACTGCTTTGGAGGTGAAATTAAATGTGATTAATTGTATGTCAGTGCGTAATGAGTGTTGACTGTATGTGAAAGAAAACAGAGGAATTGCCGCTAATGATATGAAGAGTGCTGCTCTCGGAGTGAAGCTTAATGAACACGATTCCCTGTTGGATGCCAGCAGTAGCTGGAGTCCTTTGCTCGTGCAGGTAACGGTTACACTTCTGCTGAATACAAAAATGAACAGTTGTCTACCTGCATGTACTGTGAATGCTTTAATTGACATTTGAACTCTACCCCGGGACACGCTTATCTGCAGAAACTACAAGTAGAGCAGCCCGTGCGTGGCTCTGGATTCTCAAGCATGTGACTGACTGTGAGGGGAATCTCGATTTGATAAACAGTTGAAATATTTGATTGAAATTGCACGTGAGGCAAATTCTGTTTGCAGGATGCTGGAGTCTGAAAAAGGAAGCACAGCTCTTGTAAGAGAAGAGTAGTAATGAGAGCTTAGCGAAGCATTCCTGTGGGAGGGAGGAAGGAGAAGGGGACCAGGCCAGCTGGACCTGAACTGGGGTTGGTGGGTGATACCAGCAGGTTATCACAGAATCCCAGCATGTTCAGGGTTGGAAGGGACCTCTGTGGGTCACCCAGTCCAACCCCCTGCTGAAGCAGGGTCTCCTACAGCAGTCTGCACAGGACCTTGTCCAGGCGGGTCTGGAATATCTCCAGAGCAGGAGACTCCACAACCTCCCTGGGCAGCCTGTTCCAGTGCTCTGTCACCCTCAGAGGGAAGAAGTTCTTCCTCAAAAAGAGAGGCAGCAGGAGACATTCGCATTACAGCTGGGTGTGGAGGTTCCTCGGGAGCCGATAGGATGTCGGAGGATTGTGCAGATGTGGGGACAGAATTCAGACAAAGACGATGGGAGGAGAATGGAGCAGTATTTGGAGCTGAGGAATGTTCTTGTGTTATGTGGGAATGGGCATGAGAAGTTTTGAAATTGCTCATTCCCATGAAGGGATTGCCGTGGTCTTGGCACTGGCAGGAGGTCAAGCAAGCTCTGCGGTGTTCGGTTGGGGCAGGGAAGGCTTCCAGGAAGGGTGTTTCAGAGGGGTCAGAAGAAGAATGCAGGTCACTGGAAGGGGCTGCCTCGTTGGGTGTGTTTGCGGTGTGCAGATTTGAAAAATCTCAAAGTCGAGTTTGGAAAAGGAAGCTGTCAATTCCTCCTCAGTACCCAGGTAGTGTTCTGCTAAAGTAGCTGAGTAGCTGCTTTAGTTTTAGTTAGAGAATCTGAGCTTGGAGCTGCTTTAAATTGCCTCCTTCCTGTTGTGTTCCGAGAGAAGAATCAGCGGGGAGAGACCAGCAGCGGTGAGTTGGGGCCGAAAAGGCCGGGCGTCTCTGGCCAAAGCACTGAACAGCCCGCACTGGGGCCGCTGCGGCTCCGGCCTGGGAGGGACGCGGTGCTTGCTTTCGCTGGGCTGAGAGTTGTGCGAGGCTGGATGTGCCCAGGCAGGCCCGCAAGGCTGGGGAGACCACGTAATTTAACTTTCTTCCTAGCTGCTTGTTGGCTCCTCGCCATTTACCTCTTGGTGCAGACTTCACGGAAAAATGCTCCGATATTTACATAAGCAAAATAAATTATTTGAAACAATACTAAGACAAGTTTTATGTTTGCAGGATATCGACGTGATATTTAGCAACATTTCAGATATTCATGAGCTGACAGTGAAGCTTTTAGGATTGATTGAGGATACTGTTGAAATGACTGATGAAAGTAGCCCTCATCCTCTGGCTGGCAGCTGCTTTGAGGATCTTGCAGAGGTATGGTGTTTTGTTGTTTTTGGTTTTTTTTAAGTCACTGCCTGTTTTATTTTCTGAGTAAACTTTCGCTTGTGACTCTGATATCTCTGATAAATTTGCAATTTTAAAATGTCCTTTTAATAAGCTCTGAACAGAGATCCTCCCTACCCATTCTTCAGTAGGTAAGCTCAAGTAGGTTTTCTACCCATTACAGCAATGATATAAAGCAGGTAAGCACAAAACTGTAATCTTATTTTGGAGTGAGAATTAATTGCTGCAATCCTGTAAGGATGTGGATTTGAAAAGTGACTGCCTGGGATCTGAAGAATCCGAAGTCGGTTTACTGAAAGAAAGTGATGCTTCGATTTATGTAGGCACTGACTACCCAAAAATCATAGCAGTTGGACATAGATCTGCAGGATGAGTGACTTGCATTGCTGTGGACAGTGAGCTAACCCAAATTGTGTTCTGAATTCAGGCAAATGCGTTGTTACCCATCTGGAAAAGGAAATGTCTCTACAAAGCAATGACTTTGGGAAGGAATGAAGTATCAAAACAGACGTGCAAGTGAACTGGAGCTTACTGTCCAGTATTGCAGCAAAAGTGCTATTGATACCCACTGACCTGTAAAATAAAAGTGGGAATAAGGGAAGGCACTGCACGTGAATTTGGTGTGGCTCGTGTTGGAACATTATTGACAATTACTTTGTCAGGTTGGGTTTTTTGTTAATGGGCATTGAAATGCTGGCAGGGCTGCAGAAGAGAGTCACAAAACTAGTTTTTGAGAAAGTGCTTTACAGTGAGCTAGAGCTCAGTTTTGTCAAAATAGGACAGGTGTATGTGTACCTTCACGACCTGAAAGCAGAGTACAAAACGAGAGGCGCACAGCAAAAAAGCCCTGTCTGAAAGGCAGCGGGACAGTTCAGCTTAGAAAGACACCACACCTTTTTAACTGCCAGGGGAGCGAACTCTTGGAACAAGTTACCAAGGTAGGTGTGGAGTTTTTGCTGTCTTTGGCCGTGTTTAAATGGAGTCTGCCTTTTCCTGAGAGGGGTAATGAGCCCCGTTTTTTGAACTAAAGTGTAAGAGTAATCATGTGAACCACATCGACTGTATTAGAGAGGAGGTCAAAAGAGGTGTTCTAGCCTGGGAGAGAGAAAATATCTTGGATAAACAGCATGGTGAATGTCAAGTTTATGATTTTTATCTTACCGTGTTTCGAAAGAAAATGGCAACCAATAAAACTTCCATTTCACTTTTACGTATGTTCAGTTTTTAAAATCTGAGGACTGCATCAACACACCAGTACCACTTGGAGAATGGTAACATTTTTGTGGGCGTGAAGAATACGGGTCCCTCAGTCCATGTGCCACTCACTTATGAATATACCATAAAGATAAAGCTTTCCTGGCATTACTTCAATAAACCACTCGTGACGTATCAGTCGGGAAGTCCACTTGACTAGGTCTTAGTGCTGAAGATGTTAAAGCATAATTGCTTACATAATGATAAGGAGAAGCATTTGAACAATGAATTAATAAATTAAGGAGCTATTACATTAAAATTGAAAGAAGACTTTAAATTTGAAATAGTATAGCACTGTCCTGGAAAACGTATGTATCTCCGTTTATTGCAAAAACTACTCTTGGGCATCCTCTGCTTTAAGGGAAACAAATCCCTTTCAAGGAGTAAAAATTTCACCTGATTTTCATTAACTGAAAAATAGGAAATGAAGAACAGATTATTCTTCAAACCTTTTTATGCAGGTACTAAGTTCGAATGTAATTGTTCAGTTAGCATGGAGCAAGACCTACTTAATAACTAGGCTGCTCGTTTGATCGTCTCCGGGTTGAGATCAGCTTTCTGTGAGCGTTTGCAAAAGGGATCGTTGAAGAGAGATCTGAAAGTGAAGTGTTTGTTTGCTCTGCCTATGTTACTGCCAGGCTTGTTCACTCAGTGTTTCCATTATAAAGGTCCTTCAACTTATTTAGAAGGATAATTAAAAACAAACAACCTTTGCAAGCTGGAATCTTCCTGCTTTGTGTGTTTTTCTGCATCAGTGCTTTGGAAGGTTTAGACATAAATATTGTCGTGTTTTCAAGATTAAGGAAGCATGGGGAAAATAAAATATTTTTTCCTGGTGTGGAGGAGATGGAAAAACTTGGTGCCTGACACATGTGAGTGGGAGATGGAGATTTGTTAACATGCTGGTAAAAAATTTTACTTGGTGGTAACTTTTACAGTTGTAACTACTACGGTGTGTTTTAACGATCGGCTGAGATGATCTCTTTGGCAATGTTCAGCTGGCGGGGGAGAGCCTCAGAACCGAGGGCAGAGGGTCTCTCTGCCAACTTTGGAGTGGTCTTCAGAAGGCAGCTGATGAAGCAGGGTTGTTATCGGTAGATGGTAAATTTGTTACGCGGGTGTTTGCGTTTACGTGGGAGACGTTTTAGGTATCCACAAAGCAAAAAAGGTGGAAACCAGTGCACTGCAGCAAAAAGGGGCTGAAAGGTGCCAGCGCCAATCCAGAACTGTGTGCTGCATTCAGATAACTTACACAGGCATCAAGTTAACGTCTCCCTATTTCAGTAACTTTTGCAACATTGCAAGTGTCACCCACCTCCTCTTTTTTTTTTTTATTAGCCTCTGGGGGGAGATAGCTAATGCAGTTTGTTTCAGCCTTGTGTTCAAAATGGACGGTGTAAAAGAAGACCCTCATATTGTATGCTTGCGGGTGGTGGGCAGGCGTGGAGTAAACCAAAAAACCCATCAGGCTGTAAACTGGATTCAGATCCTGCTTAGGAACACCAGCCTGTTCAGTGAGAGAGTGTCTAATCATTCCTCTTCAGCTGCTGCTGCTGGAGTGCCAGCCTTCCCCCCCTCATCCTCCCTCCCCAATACAATCTAATGCGAATGGACAGCGGTGATTAGACCTTGAGAGTGATGATTACAGTTCGGATGTGGAAAGAGAGTGCGTTCTGTGCCCCTCCTCCTCACAAAGAGTTTAATTGCAGCTGCCCTGTGAGTAGGGTAGGCAATCCCCTGGACCCTCTGCAAATAGAGGGCTTGAGGCTCTACCTGAATGTTCTAATGAGGCTTTGTGGTGGTTGGTCCTCCCCAGTTCCCCAGCCCGTATTCTGACAAGCACTCTAAGGTGGAGAGAGGTATGTGTGTGCTCTGGGCACGGTGCCATCGGCACCGGATAACCCTGTGATTCAGGGGTGATTCAGCCCAGTGAGTCTGCAGAGACTCGGGAGCAGCTGGACAGGCTACGGAGCGGGTGATCCGTGAGCAGTCGTAAATTATTCCTGCAGAGATTCGTGTCCAGTCAGGTTTTCATCCTGTCCTGCTGTAGCTGGTATTACAGAATCACAGCCAGATACCCCATCCAGAGTCATCATTTTTAGAATCGTAGAATCTTAGAATGGTTTGGGTTGGAAGGGACCTTGAAGCTCATCTGGTTCCAACCCCCCTACCGTGAGCAGGGCCATCTTCCACCAGCCCAGGGTGCTCAGAGCTCCATCCAACCTGGCCTTGAGCCTTGCCCGCAGCTTCTCTGGGCAACCTGGGCCAGTGTTTCATCACCCTCATGGGGAAGAATTTCTTCCTCATATCTCATCTAAATCTGCCCTTTTGTAGTTTAGAGCCGTCCCCCCTTGTCCTATCACTGCACCCCCTTGTGAAAAGCCCCTCTCCATCCTTCCTGTCGGCCCCTTCACGCACTGGCAGCTGCTCTAAGGTCACCCCGGAGCCTTCTCTTCTCTGGGCTGAACAGCCCCAACTCCCTCCGCCTGTCCTCGTAGCAGAGGTGCTCCAGCTCTTGGATCATCTCCATGGCCTCCTCTGGCCCTGCTCCAACACATCCATGTCCTTCCTATGCTGGGGGCTCCAGAGCTGGACGCAGGACTCCAGCACCTGAAACCCTTGGTGTCTGGAGGACTTTCCCCAGAGACTCTCCCACACCAGCTGCACTGTCCCAGAATGTGGTGCTTTCCCAGTTTTCCACCGTGGCCAGAGAAGCGTGGAGAAGCCCAGCACTTAGGACTGGCCGCTCCTGGGAGCTGTACGCTGAAATGGTGGTGGTACAACAATGCCTCCTTGTGACAGTCTCCACCGTTCATCTCTACCTGTGCTTCTTTCCGAAGTGTCATTCGTTACTGACAGAGAGGAGGTAAATTGCCCTTCTGTGTGAAGTGTGGGTGGGCTGGAAGCAGGAACTGCTCTCGGTTCCCACCGCTTCAGCAAAACAAAGTTTGTGTTGGTGAGACGTTACGGCGAGATTGAGGAAAGCCGAGAACATGTTGCGTGTAAAATTTGGAAGTGAAAAAGATTTGTGGTTTACTGAATATTTGTTTTGCAAAATCGATCTCTACTTGAAAAGTTCCACTTGTGTGTCAGCTTATTGGAGGAATTAATTGTGCCAGCTGGAACAGAGATATCTTGCATCCTTCATGTACGCGTGTAATTCTGTCTTTTCATTTAGGAGCAAGCCTTTGATCCGTATGAAACCTTGTCGCAGGATATTCTCTCTCCACAATTTCATGAGCATTTCAATAACTTAATGGCAAAACCTGCTGTCGCTCTCCACTTTCAGGTGAGTGCAAATGAGAATTACTGAATTGTTTTAGTTCTCCTATTTCAAAGGCTTGAATTTTGTCACAA